TTGCATCACAACTTCGCGGCCGATAAGCAGAAGTTCTACAAAAAGCCCCGATTCGGCAAATCAGCGTTCACCATTTGTCACTATGCGGTTGACGTGACTTATGAGTCTGATGGCTTCATAGAGAAGAACAGGGATACTGTGCCGGACGAGCATATGGACGTCCTTCGCAATTCTTCCAATGAATTTGTGAAAGAAATATTAGACACTGCTGCTGCTGTTCGGGAGAAAGATTCGGCATCGATTTCATCCAAACCAGTTGCAGCTCCAGGCCGCAGAATCGGAGTCGCTGTCAACAGAAAGCCTACGCTTGGGGGAATTTTCAAGTCATCGCTCATTGAGCTCATGAATACCATCAATTCTACCGATGTGCACTACATACGGTGCATAAAGCCTAACGAGGCAAAAGAGCCCTGGAAATTCGAAGGGCCAATGGTCTTAAGTCAACTCAGAGCCTGTGGTGTGCTAGAGACCGTCCGCATCAGTACTGCTGGGTATCCCACTCGTTGGACGTATGAGGAATTTGCCATCCGTTATTACATGCTTTGTCATTCGTCTCAATGGACCTCAGAAATCAAGGAAATGTGCCATGCGATTCTACAGAAAGCGCTTGGGGACGCGAGCCATCAAAAACAAGATAAATACCAACTGGGCTTGACCAAGATATTTTTCCGAGCAGGTATGCTTGCGTTCCTGGAGAATCTCCGTACATCCAGATTGAACGAATGCGCAATCATGATACAAAAAAATCTGCGGTGCAAATATTATAGGCGTCGATACCTCGAAGCCCGCTCCTCTATCCTTACCACGCAAGCTCTGATCAGAGGTTTCTTGGCAAGGCAGCGTGCGGCAGAAGTGCGTCAAATCAAAGCTGCCACCACTATCCAGAGAATTTGGCGTGGTCAAAAGGAAAGAAAATTCTATAATGAAGTTCGCGGCAATTTCATTCTGTTCCAATCAGTGGCTAAAGGCTTCCTCTGCCGACGCAATATCATGGACACCATACATGGCAACGCGGCAAAGATCATACAGCGCGCATTTCGATCCTGGCGACAAATACGTGCATGGCAGCAGTATCGTCGTAAGGTAATCATTGTCCAAAACTTATGGAGAGGAAAGCAGGCCAGGACGCAGTATAAAAAACTTCGAGAGGAAGCGAGAGACCTGAAGCAAATCTCCTACAAGCTCGAAAATAAGGTGGTGGAGCTTACTCAGTATCTCGAGTCACTGAAGCGCGAAAACAAATCGTTGAACTCGCAGTTGGAGAATTATGAGACACAGTTGAAATCATGGAGAAGTCGTCACAATGCTTTAGAAAATCGCACCAGGGAGCTTCAAGCCGAGGCTAACCAAGCTGGGATTACTGCTGCCCGATTGGCCGCCATGGAGGATGAAATGAGCAAATTGCAGCAGAATTACGCTGAGGCACAAACGATCGTCAAGCGCCTGCAAGAAGAGGAGAAGGTCTCGCGGGAGTCAATTCGGTCCGCTAATCTGGAGTTGGATCGGCTCAGACAGCTGAACAGTGAAGCTGAAAATGACCGAGCTTCTCTTCGCCAACAAGTTGCGGAGCTTGAAGAGCAGCTAGAGCTCGCTAAACGAAGCATTCCTTTGAACGGGCTTAACGGAGATGCGCAGAACAGCGGTTCTATGCAGCCACCTGCCGGTGGCTTGATAAACTTAGTTTCCTCAAAGAAGTCTAAGCCTAAGCGACGGAGTGCCGGGGCCGAGAAAATTGACACAGATCGCTTCAGCGGTGCGTACAATCCCCGGCCTGTGTCTATGGCAATCCCGAGTTCGACTTTTGGTCGTCAGAACTTTTCAGGGCATACTTTTTCACCAGGACTTGACACTGTTGAGGTAGAGCTCGAAAATTTACTGTCTGAGGAAGATGAGCTCAATGAGGAAGTCACAATGGGATTGATTCGCAACTTGAAAATCCCACTGCCCAGCTCGACACCTCCGCCAACCGAGAAGGAAGTCCTATTTCCTGCATATCTGATCAACCTCGTCACGTCAGAGATGTGGAACAATGGTTTTGTTAAGGAGTCCGAACGATTCTTAGCCAACGTGATGCAGTCAATTCAGCAAGAGGTCATGCAGCATGATGGTGATGACGCCATTAATCCGGGCGCTTTCTGGCTCTCTAACGTGCACGAAATGCTTTCATTTGTCTTCCTGGCAGAGGACTGGTACGAGGCTCAAAAGACGGATAATTACGAATACGACCGCCTCCTGGAGATTGTGAAGCATGATTTAGAAAGCTTGGAATTCAATATCTATCACACGTGGATGAAAGTGTTGAAGAAGAAACTGTATAAGATGATTGTCCCCGCGATCATCGAATCTCAGTCCCTTCCTGGATTCGTCACCAGTGAGACCAATCGGTTCCTCGGGAAACTGCTTCCCTCAAACAACAATCCAGCGTACAGTATGGATAATCTCCTCAGCCTTCTGAACAATGTCTACAAGGCAATGAAAGCTTTCTACTTGGAAGATTCTATCGTTATTCAAACCGTAACAGAGCTTCTTCGCCTCGTCGGTGTCACCGCTTTCAACGATCTCCTGATGCGGAGGAATTTTTTGTCTTGGAAGCGTGGCCTTCAAATCAATTACAACATAACTCGGATTGAGGAGTGGTGCAAGAGTCATGATATGCCTGAAGGAACATTGCAGCTAGAGCATTTGATGGTAAGCTGGCTTCCAAGAGATGGTGATGATTTTCACTAATATATGTTTTCGTTTCTCAGCAAGCAACGAAGCTCCTTCAGCTCAAGAAAGCTACTCTCAACGACATCGAGATAATCCAAGATATCTGTTGGATGTAAGGCGGACGTTCGCAGCACTTCTAAACTGAAGACTAATTGGTCGATTCTCTAGGCTGTCTCCAAACCAGATCCAGAAGCTTCTGAATCAATATCTTGTCGCTGACTACGAACAGCCCATCAATGGCGAGATCATGAAAGCCGTAGCCTCCCGTGTCACAGAAAAGAGCGACGTACTCCTCCTTACCCCCGTTGACATGGAGGACAGTGGACCGTATGAAATCGCCGAGCCCCGTGTCATCACAGCCTTAGAGACATACACACCATCATGTGAGTGATTCAACGAAATGTGGCGCCCAGAATACTAACGATATCCAGGGCTCCAAACACCGCGTTTGAAACGTCTCGCAGAAATAGTATCGGCACAGGCAATGGCCCAGCAAGAGAGGCTCGAAATATCTGACACTGCCGGGATGCCAAGCGATTAACGTTGTCTACCATTGCCATTGTCAATATTCATCGTGGCTATGTGTCACAAGCACTTCCAAACTTACATCGCAGTCCTACCATAGATTTTGCAACCGCAACTACTAGAATAACTTGGGAATGGTCTTGGCTTCGCTTCACTCTTCGACTTAAACCTTATTTTCTGATTCTCGTATGTGAACTAGCATGTTTTGTTGCATAAAGTTCGGACACTTGTACAAATCCTGGAGACAACAACGGCCAAAGAGCCTGGCATTAAGGGAAAAAAAAAATAAGAATGGATCCATGCACCCCTGCGACAAGATACTTGCCTGGACGATGCATTCCTTTCCTGTGTGAGTGTGGTTTTGCTTCTACTTCGGTTTCTGTTGCTACGTGCTGCTATTCCATTGGGGTTGTTCTTGGAGACAATAAGCTCTTATCAGCAAGATATCAAGAGCCATTTCTATTGTTGCGCCTTTGAAACTACTGTTTATATTGTTAAACTTATCCGCTCATGTCGAGTCTGTATATAGCCCAGTTTCATATTTGATAATGCCTGTCAGTGATATCGTCCTTCTTTATGGAGGTGGTCATTGCCCAATAGTGAATCACCAATCCATTAGTAACTAAAGGCATATACTGTAAGGTAGAGGCGGTCGGTACCCTATTCATCCATTCCTTATCGGGAGCTAAGTGGCAACCAAACCATCGCTCACCTTTGTCTCAATTGACTTTGCCCCTGCAGCACCAGAACCATGATTACCATGGCGAAGCTAAACTTCATTACTGGTAACAAAAACAAATTGGCTGAAGTGAGAGCGATACTGGGAAATGTGATTGAGATTGACAGCCAAGCAATCGAGGTACCAGAGATACAGGGATCCATTGAAGAAATCGCGAAAGACAAGGCTAGGCGTGCAGCAGAAGTGGTATGGACTGCATTAATGTGATTTCGTATGATGGTCTCTGAATTTTCATTTTGACGCTTTATGGAAGATAGGCGGCCCTGTCTTGACGGAGGATACAGCGCTTGGATTCCGCGCTCTGGAAGGACTTCCAGGCGCGTATATGTAAACCTACCTTCGAGTCGCATTGTAACTTTGGAATTGCGGAACTGATCATGCTATATAGCAAACATTTTTTGAGCGCACTGGGACACGACGGTCTCAACAAGATGCTTGACTCTTTCGAGGACCGAAGTGCAGAAGCCGTTTGCACATTTGCTTTTTGTCGTGGTCCTGGAGAAGAACCTATACTTTTCCAGGGAAGGACAGAGGTAAACGGGCACTCGCGTCTATATGGTGTTCTATAAATCTAATTCGGGCATCAGGGTATTATTGTCAGGCCGAGAGGCCCATTGAACTTCGGTAAGTAGATTCAGTCATGATCATTAGACTTTGCATTAATTATTCCAAGGCTGGGATCCGATATTTGAACATAATGGGATGACATATGCTGAGATGGATAAGGAGGAAAAGGTACGACATCTAAATGCCTCACAATTGCTCGCTCAACCTTCGGGGAGAAACACAGGAACGGAGATACCATTTTCCCTTTCTCCATTTCAGAACTGAATGTTTTTATTTGTCTTCGCGGACTGTTCAAGCGTCTTGCGCTGATTTGTTGGGATAGAACCGAGTTTCTCACAGGTACAAGGCTCTCGTCAAGCTAAAGCAGTGGCTTGAGGAGGGACACCTCTACCTTGATAGTGCAGGTACGAGGACCTGAAAGGTTTCAAGGAAAAGCCATTAGGTTTGCCCAGGTCGGGCTTCACACTCTGTTTTCCACTCGGCTTTCTTTCCAGGATTCTATCCAGGCTGAAATCCTTGCGCAGTTGCTCTCTACATCATCATCCTCCTCACTATTGAGCTCCACCACTATCTGTTCGTCAAAAGATTCGCGCGCTTCTTCTGACAAGACGCCGAATATTTCAGAATCTAAGTTTTCCTGCAATTTGGCCTCTTTGTATTTTCTACAAGAAGCGCAATCATGTTAGGGCTGGTTTAGGGAAAGGATGAAGAGCAGTTGTGGAAGAAGCAGCATGCACGTACCTCGCAGAAAGACGGTCATATAAAATTGAAGTCGACGGACATCGCAAGACCACGACGAGATCTATCCATGATTTGGGAAACAAGTCGCATGCATGCCAATCAATCAAGTAGCCGCCCTGAAGCACCTCATCTTCAATCGCATCCAATAACTATACTGTCATATCAGTCTACGTGCGTGAGATTCGGGATAAGCCTGAAACGTAGGCAAGATCCTTGTAGGTGTTGTGACTTCAATACACATATCGAAAAGCCAACGACGTACTTTGTCCTCGTCAACGATCCAGGTCTCCAAATCCTGGTCATAGCTTTCGAAGCAACCTCGATCTTTGGCGACTTGGTTTATGGATAGGTGTCGCAAGCCGACCTCCTGCGCTAATTTCTCGCAATGAACAGTTTTCCCTACACCAGGGGTGCCTGTGATGATCACATTCGGGGATCTTCGCATATTGGCCCCAGAAAAAGTGCCAACCGCTCGAGAGTGATGAATGAGTCGTGTCTGATACCATGCAATGGAATCAAGGGGTTCGGGGAATTTTTCAGCGGGGCGGCAGTGCTTTGGGCCTCAGGCATGAATTCGCAACCAGAAGTGGCAAACTCCAACAGGTACAGTAAGGTAGTGCTTAAAAATGCAGAAGCTTCATTAAACTTTCTAAACCCTGTTAGCAGATTCTATGAAATAGTCAATATTGATGATTAATATTGTTTGTATGCCAGACAAACTCTGTCGGAAAGGGTCACATGGCATATGGTGAAATAGTCGTTTGCAAAATACTCTCCCTGCTTTTCTATCTGTCCATTAAAAGGTAGTACAATGAGAGAGACCTGCTAATGTAGAAACGGGCCCTCCCCCTCCGTATATGCTGAAATAGCATCATTCGAGCCCGTGCTATAGGATGCATTTTGGAATTTAGTTATGATAATTCCTCCTTCGCACCCACACTGAGAGAAGAAAACGCCAATAAGACGGGTGCGTTCAATCAAATTGAAGGCAACGACTAAGAAACGCGCAGTCTGGAGAAGTCAGAGTAGTCAACCAAAAGGCAAGCTTGCCGAACTTACTTGAGAAGCTCAAACTCCTTATATTTCTGCAAATAGGTAGTACCGCGCCGATATGCTTTTAGGACCTTCATTGGATCGAGAGATGCTATTGTTCTTGGTCCGCTGAGACGTCTCACTGCCAGTGGTATTTTGAACATTGGGTCGAAGACGAATAGATTCGCACCTCCGTCACCTCGGATTTCAAAGCCAACGACGGTCAAAGAGTGACCTGAGATGTATCAGTCGCCAATATGCGGAATTGATTCAACGTTGATAACACAGTACCATGGTGTTGTAGATATATGGGGGGTAAGTTGGTCAGAAAGACTTTGTCATCTCCATCCAAGGAGCATGCGCACCGAAAATAGGCGGCGACAGCCGCGTACAAGGCGTCGTGGGCACGCATCTCTCTGGTTTCTCCGAAGCTACTTGCTTCGCAGCTGCTAAAGGTCAGCATTGTGGCTCCGTAGTATCTGAAGGGAGTCTGGTCTTACTCAATCCCCAGACTCAGAAATAGAGCCTGTGCCTGTAGGAATGAGCATTCTGTCAATTATCACATTTTAGCATTCTGACGTTACCTCTGGCGTGCCAATGTACTTCCTGGTGCCACGAATCCCCCCGGTCTCAGCTCTCCCTACGCTGTTGAATCCCATATCCCATGCACGTTCGATCATATCTTGTAGCTGCAAAATAGTCGGCAGCGTCTCAGTGAAATGCTCATGACCGGAGATATGAGATTCTTGAATGTACGAAATGAGCATCTGGATATTCCTGTAACCGCAGAAACCGCCTTCCCTTGGCATCTTGGAAATTTGACGGACCTTCGGACTGCAGAAAAAAGCTCGCTGAACAGACTTATCCTGTTCGCATAGCTGGGAGAGCACTGAGATCACATTGCTGGCCTCATTATCAGCTGTCTCTAGTTTTGAAAGCTTGCCACCCGGGCAGATGATGCTGGACTGAGTTTTCTTTGCGCCCTGTTCTAGTAGTCTCCGAAGCCATGCCGGCATTCGTTTTTCATGAGCGTAGGGTCCCAGTTCTGCACGCTGTGCCCCAGTTAGCACGATATCAAAAGCACTCCAACTCGGGTATAGTACTCCAAGTCTTTTCACACTTCCAGGAAGTGACATATTGGCTAGCAGAGGGCTTATCACCTCGTTTTCCGTTGAGCATGGACCAGGCTCCTGCCTTCGAACCCGGGGTTGGACTGAAACCTTGCAAGGATCTTCGAGGGCCTCGCCGTCACCCTTCTGACTTTTTGAGCGTGGAAGACCGGGTTCCTCGATCTCGCTCACTGTCACGGGGCGTTTTGGACAGATTGATGGCGCATTGTCAACTGCCATCTCTTCAGCAGCATGCATATCAAGGTGATACGGGATTTCAGCAGATAGTAGGATCTCACCACAGCCGTGTTGACATTTGATGTACACCTTTTCATCACCTGGGATTTCTGGTTGTTGGTAGCTGGGAGTCGGTTGATCTTCATCCCTGTTTCCTCCAGAGGGGGGCTCGGTTTGTCCGCCACCTTCAGGATGACAGTATTGAACATGTTGCGCAACAAAAGTATCATCAGGATCAGAGAAAGGACAGAATGGACAGGTTGGGTGATGAACGTCGTCATGACCCATTGTTGTAGGCATGGGAGTCAGGCTACTTGCTATGAAAAGCAGCGGTGGGATCGTATCCTTTTGTATACTTTCTCGGAGCGGTTAGTCTGCTCTCTGTCTGGGGAGGGACAATGGAAGGGGACAATGTTTTCCTTGGAGATTGAGCACTTCGGCAGTGGAAGCAATATTTATTATTCCATCCTACTGGTGAGCACGGGTGCCTGATCGAGTTCTTAGGTACCTACACTGTCGGAAAGCAACTAATTAAAAGAGGCAAGCAAGATAGACTTGGCTATGCTCTCATAGTAGTAGCGGGAAAGCTATATCTCCATTTCTGGGATATAGAGATCTGGACAGATACTTGGACCACCTCAAGGTCTAATTATTCAATGACTCCAAGGTACAGATAATAAAAATGATAACGATCTCACGAGTAATAATTGGGATCGATAGTAAAATTAGATAATGATAATGGATATACTACATTATACTCTGTTTATTATTATTATTCCATTCTTATTATTTATTCTATGGAGGTAAAAAGTCTTTCTTTTTTTTTTTTTTTCATTTTTCATGTCATTCTTTTTATTTTTTCATTCTTTCCTCCCTCTCTCGGGGATGAATCATCAGCAAAAAAAAAATGTTGCTCCGGAGTAAATCACTACTCCGTTATGTGCTCCGCTTTCGCAACCCCGCCAGTCCATATAAAAAGGTGTCCCTGCTCCCCGCGCCGATTACAGGATCACTATCATACATGTTGAATTCTTGCATTGCAAGGCAGCTTGTCTTGTCATACTTGATCTAGCAGTATGGGAGACCAAGTACAACCCGATTCGAGTCCTTCTACTCTGTCAATTACCAATGGCAGTTCAAACTGGGTAGTACAAAAATTTGGGGGCACCAGTGTCGGAAAGTTTGCCCTGAATATCATTGATCATGTTGTGCTGTAAGTCCTCATATATCAGTCCTAAAATATGAGCAAGTTTTCTAATTGTATCCCTGCTGTTATTTTCATCACCAAGGCCAAGTCTCAGAGAAAACAAAGTCGCCGTGGTATGTTCCGCAAGAAGCAGCTCAACTAAAGCTGAAGGTACCACGAACCGGTGAGTCATACCAGTTGATCTGAAATTCTTTCTACGCAAAAATTCGATCGCCATGTCCTTCACTCTTTCCCTGTCCTTCATCTATCACTCATTTACTTCATCTATCACTCATTTACTCATTGGCAATCGTTAAATAGTCTCCTGCGAGCAGCCCGTGATGCCGAAAACGCCCAGTCACACGAGTATGTTTCCTTGGTGGAGGCAGTTCGGCTCGAACACGTCCAGATCGTCGAGATTCAGATAAAATCTGAAACCCTCAGGACTCAGTTAATTTCAGAGATTAATGGCGAGTGCGAAAGAGTCCTGAAGGTTCTAGAGGCGGCTCAAACGCTCGGGGAGATAAGTGCGCGTTGTGTGGACAAAGTCATCAGTACAGGAGAGAAACTTAGCTGCCGACTGATGGCTGCCTTCCTACAAGACCGTGGCGTAGATTCGCAATATGTGGATCTGGCAGAAGTGATTGATTTCCCTATCGGGAGTCAAGGTCTCGATCAGGACTTCTATAACAATCTTGCTACTGTTCTTGGCAGAAAGCTCAGGGATTGCGAAGGAAGAGTGCCGGTGGTCACTGGCTTCTTCGGGACTGTGCCTGGGGGTCTTCTTGATCAAATTGGTCGTGGTTATACGGATCTCTGCGCTGCACTCGTTGCAGTCGGAGTCCATGCCAAAGAACTACAGGTGTGGAAGGAGGTTGACGGGATATTCACCGCTGATCCTCGCAAAGTCCCAACCGCGCGTCTGCTGCCAGCCATCACACCCGCTGAGGCAGCTGAATTGACATTTTATGGCTCCGAAGTAATCCATCCTTTCACCATGGAGCAAGTCATCCGCGCTAGGATTCCCATTCGTATAAAGAACGTTATGAATCCAAAGGGTGATGGGACCGTGATATTCCCCGACTCGACATACGAACTTGAAAGAACAACCCCGGGCCATGATCCAAGGCTTTTCCGTACTCGAAGCCCCAGTCTCATGCAGAGGCCGAAGCGACCGACAGCTGTCACAATCAAACATAAAATACTCGTCATCAATGTGCATTCGAACAAACGCTCGCTTTCGCATGGCTTTTTTGCTGGGATATTCTCTGTTCTTGACCGCTGGAGACTCTCGATTGATTTGATATCTACAAGTGAGGTCCATGTGTCAATGGCCCTTCACTCAGAGATGCCTCTCCTCAATGGAGTTGGTAGAGATGAGTATCAGATCATCGACGAAGATCTGAAAGGCGCGTTGAATGACTTGCAGAAGTATGGTACAGTCGATATCATTCCAGAGATGGCTATTCTCAGCCTGGTTGGGAAGCAAATGAAGAACATGATTGGAGTTGCGGGGCGCATGTTTACCACACTCGGTGAGAATAATGTTAATATCGAAATGATATCACAGGGTAAGTGCCCTTATCTGGTACTTCGGCATTAGTCTTCACTAGAAGCCTAAGACTAATTGCATGCATCATGCTTTAGGTGCGAGCGAAATAAACATATCATGTGTCATCGAAGAAAGGGACGCAGACCGTGCTCTCAATATCATTCACACCAGCATGTTTACTTTCCTGGACTGACGACATATTTTCTTCGCCTAGCGCTCCTTTCCCAGTGTCAGTGTTGCGGGTCTTCTAGCACTCCGAGAGAGCGACTCTCAGCTCTCTGAGAGGCCGAAAAGTCAAACTAATGGTTTCATGATGATACGGGAAAAGC